GTTCACACAAAGAGTTCTCATTCAGTCTGATCCAGAACCTTATACACTCTCTGAGATCATTAATCAAATATATCCTGCCTTTACTGACATCAGAATAATGGATGCAGCAGGTTGCAGGGGAAATGTAATTTATTAGAAACATCTCATCCAAACATCCTGAACACAGTTTCTTTTTTTAAATTATTATTATATATATAGCAAAGTCCATTTGTGTAATTTCTTTACCAGCTTAGACGTTTCAATCAATTTTCACCGGAACATTATTGCAAATGTATATTAACAGCAGACATCACAGTATGCTTTCACCTTATTCATGCTATCAGCTCTGACCTACGTGTGCAGAAGTTCTCCAACATGCCAGCATATTAGATAACATTAACCAAATTCACTTAGTAAGATAATGTCAGTATTTAGGTCAAAAATAGCTAAAAAGCTAATAGCATAAACGCTATCATCATCATGTTGGCTTACATGAAGGTGTTGGGTGAACTTAATGTAATCCTTTCATTGAGTACACTTTAGCTTTTGAGCCAAAATTAAAGCTAACATTAGCTTAAATGCTATCATGGCATTGGCATGTTGGCTAAAAAATGAACCATATTAACTCAGTTCAATCAGTAATTATTGAATTAACTTAATTCGTTCAGTAAACTTAGTTTAGTTTTTTTATTCAAAATTAGATAAAAAGCTAATGTTAGCTTAAATGCTATAATTGTGTTGGCATGTTGGGTAAAATGAACTACATCCAGTAAGATTGGTAAGTAACTTGACAGCTAATAAATGAACTTAATTTACTCAGTAAGCTTATTTTAGTTTTTAAATTAAAAAAATGACTTTAGTGACGATGCTAACCTTTGTATGCAACATAATGTAAAACATCATATAAAAGCCCACATAAAATGACAGAAAAAACTTTAAATGGGTTTAATCAGTGTAAAATAAATTCTTATTTATTTATTTTCTTCTCACTCCCACACATTTTTTGTATTTTGTGGCAGTTTTTGTGGCTTTTCCTTGGTTTCTCGTACCGCTTCGGGATCCTCTCTTTACTTAAGAGCAATTTGTTTTGTAAAGTAAGGATTTGGGTTTTTGTTTCTCCGCCTCCCCAATATTGCCAAAATTAGAACAATCCTCTCTCAAAGGGATGAGGAAAAATTGGTCTATGTGTTGGTTATTTATAGACAGGACTTTGAAAACTTTTTGTCATCAGGAGGTTCCAAATATTCACTGTAAAGTCTGCTTCTGAATTGAAGAAAGTTGCAAGAATTTTACTCTCTCATTATTCTGGCTTTTATTTGGTAAAGGCAGTTTTCAACAACATGGCATGTGCAGGTGTTTCATACCATAAAGCCATAAGACAGTAATCAATTGTAATCAATTATGAAACATGTAGCGCATGTTACATTTTGTCAAATGCCCCTCATCAAAATCATGAAGCAAATACACATCGAATATATTTATCAATGTTACACCTATTACCAATTAAAGGCGACTAGACACAGGTAGATTTTAAAGGAATTTATTGTTTCAGCATCTTTGCAGTTTTCTGGACGGTTGTTCCAAACTTGTGGCACATAGAAACTGAGACCTTGATGGTGACATTCGCCCTTCAATCCTGGAAATGCTCTGCAAGTGACAGAAGACCGACTTTGTAATTGTCTTTATCTGTCTCTGACGGTTCAGATCTACACCCAGATTTCAGGCCTGATCACGAGTTTGTTTACAAAATAGAAAATATTTTGGTAATGCTTGCTGATCTAAAGCAGGAAACCTTTAGAGTAATTTCCTGCCCGGAAGGGAGAAGGAATGGGTATGCGCCCGGTATCTGCTTTCAACTGTAGCTCTTCTGGAGCCAGACACTGTGTCTACGTTTACTTTTGATAAAGTTAGGGCTTTCCAGAATGCAAAGCAGCCGGTCAAAGAATATGGCACCACTTCCGGAAACAATCAGGAGGTGGATTCTACCAACGACTGTTGCGTGACCGTATCATTGAAACAACAGTGGACATTTCTGAAATACGTTGTGATGTTTACAGGATAGAAAACATATAAGAGTTAACAAGGTTCTGTCTAAAAACAAACATAAAAGAACAAATTTGCCACCCGGAGATGCTTCAAATTCTTTTGTAAAACGAATCTGTCAAGTCTCACTTTTCATGCGCTCATCTTCAAAATATTAATAAACAATGAAAGTGTGGAAAGCAGGACTTCAAGGAGAAACGTCAACCAGCTCAGGTCAACCAAGGAGAAGATGGTTGTCGAAACATTACTGGGACATTTGAGAAATTCCGTGTTTTGACTTGGATTAGACAGGTGTAACGCCTTTAAACATGCAGCCAGCGTCTTCTTCTGGTCATCAGCATGCTGGCAACTCTCCTGTAGGTCCTGCGATGATTGTCATCGGACTGTACAGCAAATGACTCTGGGCCTGGATGGTCCAGCTAAGTGTCCAGGCTGTGCTGAATCAGCAGATGTCTATAATTTGGCACCATGTCTCTGCAGATGTCTGGTAATATGAGAAGCGGGCCGGGAATTCAGCCCGAAGCCTCTGACTCTGATGAGGCTGCACAATCAAAGTTGTGAATGAAAAGTCCGAAAAGAAAAGAGGAAATTTGGCACCATTATAGTAAGGTTAATATGGAGGCAGGAACTTTATGTAAAGGCATGTTAAATGCATTTCTATGCCAGCTGTATTGTGTCAGGAACTGGGTTTTTTTGTTTTTTTGTCAAGCAGCTCAGACCAAAACTGGTGCCGAGTGTATCGATCAGGCGAGATATGAGAGGAGGCTGAGAGTTTACAAGTCTGGAAAGTTGTGGAATTAGATTTTGGCGTTTTCTGCATCTGAACAAATACATCTCATTGTCGCGTTCCATTAATCAGTCCATCCGTGGAAAATGTTTAGGAACACTGACTTATCTACTATCTCTATTGTAAATGCTTGGCACAAACGGACAAATGACCGAATCCATCAAATGTGTCGTTACGGATGAAATGAAAGCTGAAATACTCGCTGCATAAAAATAGCGCCTCGTGTTTCTGCACTTTGGTTTTAAGGTTTGTTTGCCTGATGTTGTTTTGATACACACATCATCATGCCCAATTGAGATATTACTGTCATTTCCCTCCACCCCCATATTATTTTTATGTAATTTTTTTTTTCAAATGGCGCCTGCTCAGAGATGCTTCAGTAGCACTCTGTGGTGTATTTTTGTTGCTATTTTATTATTTACAGTTAAGGCCAAAATTATTCCTTCACAAACTGAAGTTTAGCCTTCATGTTATCTGTCTGTCTGCATTTCTATCTTCAGGAGGACATTGAATCGACTTCAATTCGTTTTTCAATAATTTGACCCATACTTAGTTCATACTTTACTCCTAAGCCAACCCAACCCCAAAACAGCACTTCTTGGGATTTGAGGCCCATAAGGTGCCGCAGGTCCTCACAACCCAAGTATATGTTGGAGACGTTGGCCTTACAAGGTGAGAAACACACACATGCACACACATGCACACGCACGCAAGCCTGAGCCCAGAGCCGCTTGCAACAAAATCCATTCATATTGGTTGATTTACTGTATTGTGCTCAGCCTGCTTGCTTCTGGGAACAGAAGTGGTCAGGCACTTTCACAGAAGGTGTGAAATATCTGGAAATTGGCTGCAACACTGAGCTACAAAAGCCTTGAAATAGCTTGTAGAGTTTTTTTTCTCTCTCTCTCTCTTTTGGTCCCATTGATTTCCAACAAGGGAAGGTAGAAGGTCAGCTATAGAATGACTCTCCTTGGTATAAAGTATGTATAAAGACAGAATCTATGTCTACATTTCAGGAGGCATAGATTTTACAATTCCAATAACTCAGATTATTACATTAAGGCAAATTGCTGGATGGTCATATCACAAATTTCCACATACTTTAGTTGGTTTCCAGGAAACATTCGCATATTCGCCTTGCACTCCTATAATTATGAGACTAAGTTGCTTTAAAAGGGAAATCTAACTCAGCGTCTCTGAAATGTTCCATATGAAGCCAAAACCAACAACACATCAGCACAAAAACCCCAACTATGAAGAATTTTGATGAAGTCTGGTGATTTCGGGTTGTTTGGGGACCCAATGTATTCTGGAGTCAACCTGAGGTCATCAGGTGTTTCCACACTTGATAATCAGGAAGACTTCGTTCGATTGGAGTGTAACTTTGTTGCATTTTCAGCTGCCGCAGTTCTGTTTCACACTGCACTGTGTTAAGCAAACTCAAACCCTTTGAGAAACCTGTTCACCTCCCTCGCCTGAGGTGGCGCTGCTGCACCAGGAGCCTCTGAAGGGAACAACACGGAAACCTCCGAAGAATACACTGAGCTCAACTGAACTAATCAGGGGTCAGATTGTAAGGGTCAGAGGATTCCTCGAGACATTTTTGCCGCTAGCTCGACACGTTTGTTTTTATTTACCCAGAATGCCATGCATGTAGTCTGCTTCCTCCATTTTGGAGAAGTTTTTCTGGTACACTTTGCATTCGTATTTGCATTTAAACCGGCACCACAGTCCAGCTTAACCGAACTGAGATGTGTTTCTAGCTGAACCAGAGCTTTTTTCCGCATCAGAGGCCGGGTGCTCGTTCACACCTCCTCAAACGAACTGAGGGTCATTAAAACGGACTAAACAACACTGGTGTGAATGCTCCCTTACACTATTCTGCAAAGAAGATCTTTAGGTACAAAACTGCCAGCGACGAGTTTCACTGTATGTTGCTTTTGAGACTCGGTGTCCATATCGGGCACAAACTAAGACTGTGGCAAAAAAAAAAAAAAAAACTAAGAAAAATCTGTGTCCAGCACAGAGAGGTCAGACAGTTTGAGGTCTGCCCGTCCTTTAAATTGGTGAAGCCGGTCCACTCTCCACTCGCATCCTCGGGGACCACACATGCACACTCCCAGTATCTCTCCTCTTCCTCCTCCTCCTCCTCTCGCTCTCTCCCTCTCTCTCTCAACACACACACACTGACTCTCTCATATAGGAGGATCCCGGTAGAGAGCCGGAGATTGCACATCCGAGGCGCACTACCTCACACACCTCAGCATCAACAGGAACCTCCAAACAAAAAGCTCCAGATCCAGATCCAGATCCAGATCCAGATCCAGATCCAGATCCAGCTTCAGATCCAGCTCCAGATCCAGACTGACACGCCGCTCATCATCTGTTTCACTCCGGAAATCCTGCGGATTTTTTTTTTTTCCCCCTTTTTCTACCTTCATCTTTCTCTCAGCGGATCAATTAAGGCGCGCGCACATTAGGCGGTGCTGCACGGGAAATTTAAAGCGGCGGTGTGTTTTAGTGTGCTTTGTAGTGTGTGTGGGTGTGTGTGTGTGTGTGTGTGGGTGCTGCAGTGTTCTCCTGCATCCTCGGACTTGGATCGGAGCAACAGCCGCCGCCGGCGCGTCAGTGAGGTAAGAGATGCGACCCGCATCGTCCCCTTACCGCTCAGCTCGGGCTGCTGTTTTATTCCTTATTCCTGCAGCGGGGAGTCTTTTTGTTTGTTTGTTTTGTTGTTGTTTCTTTTTTCTTCATTTTTTTTATGCGTGTGAAATGTAATATCGGAATTCAGTTTGATTTTCGATATTACCGGTTTCTGCAAGCAAACAGACTCAAACTCTGCGCAGGATTTAGGATCATTTAGGCGCGATAGTTACTTTTTTTTTAAAGTGAATTATTGGTCGATGGGGTTTTGTTTTGTTTTGTTCTATTTCCTGTCCTGTCCAGCTTCAGCTCCTCCACTCTCACCTTGTCTGTTGGGCCCCATGGAAGCTACGGCTGTTACATAAAACTCACATTTATCCTCTGTTCTTCCTTTCCTCCCATCCTCCTCCTTCCTCGTCCTTCTCTTTGGCCTGAATTGTGAGGAAAGCTCACAGACATGATCACAATTTGCAGGACGCACTTACAAAACCAGATTGTTAGGATTTAACCCTTTGTGTGATGATTGGCTCAGATTTGATGGAATTTGACCAAAGAGGCTCCTGGAGCTACTTACTCAACAAATGGGTTCCAGTCTTTTGACATGATTTGCTCGAATTCTTTAAATTACTCAAATCTTTTTCTCATCGTTCTTTTTATAATGACTCTGGAGTCAACAAGCAAAAAGCTATATTGGGATAATCAAATTGAAGTACAATACATAGCAACAACCCACTAAACAATGAAACGATGCATATGACTAAATCCAGAACTGTCTCAACAAATATGACACCATTCAAAAATAGCTAATATTTCCTGTTGACTTTAACTGTAAAAAGTTTCAACTTGTTGTTTTGTTTTTTGAGTAAATCCTTCATTAAGTGCAATATTTAAGGGGTTTGTATTATATGCATTCTGAGGTGCAAATAAAAAGAATAAATAAATTGCAAACCTTGTAGATCATCAACTAAAAAACAAGGAAGTACCTGTGTGTCTGTGTGTGCACTGAAAAAAAGGAAAATTGTCAAATTTATTTATGCTTGTTTAACTTAATAAATGTAGTAATTAACATATTTACTTGGATGAGTGTAAATTGATTACCCGTAACAAAAATCATGCTTACAAAAAAAAGTCTGCGTGTCAAAGGTGAAACACGTCTTTATCCCCAAAGTCGCTTCTTTTGTCCACTTCAGGGACAAAAGTCAAGACTTAACAAACATTTTTATTAAACTCAGTTGTCTGTTTTAACTTTCCTGTTAAAAAAGACCAAGACACAATTGGTTTGTGGTCAAGTCAAAAAGCTGTAATGAAGTAGTTGTTCTTTAAACAACTACTTTTTAAGCCTACTTGTTAGGCTTAAAAAGTTGTTCTCAACTTTTTAAGCCTAACAAAATAAATTTGACAAAATTTATTTTGTCAAATTTACAAAATAAATTTGAGAACAACTTTTTAAGCCTAACAAGTAGGGTTGTAGCAATGCCGAAACGCACACAATATTGAGCTCACGAGAACAAGACACAACGGAAGTTGTTGTTTTGTTACACCATAAGTATTTAATGTCTTTATGAAAGTTTTATTACTTTCTTTTTCTCATTTCTTTAGGGCTCTTCACACCTAAGGACAGCGCTTCAACTTTTATGACTAAAAGTTTCTAGTTATAGCTCCTACTAAAACGTTAGCTGGCGAAGCCATCCTGACCACAATTAGCTCGTGCTCACTAGACAGCGGTCACCTCAACGAGAAGAATTGCACTTTTTGGGGTTCGATTTGAAGTTTGTTGTAGTCTTTTAAAAAAATAATAATCTGACTCTTGTTTCACTTTATCACCACATTGAAGGTGTACAGGATCTATTAGAAGTTGTTTTGTTATACCATAAGTATTTAATGTCCTTATGAAAGTTTTAGTACACCGTAGGCATTTAGGGTCCTTTGGAAGACGCTTTGTTATTTAGCAGGTGTTTCAGGTTCTTCTGAAAACGTTTAGCTGCCTTGTAGACACTCAGGGGTTCTCCTGGAGGTTTTCTCATATTGCAAGCAGGATATTTTCAAAGCAGTATTAGTCGTAGGTGACCATTTTTGTGAATTATATTGTCTTTTTGTGTTGTTTTGTAACACCTTATATTTAGCTAGCATCTTTACAAGTCTGTTTAGTTTTACTGAAGCGCTTTGGTTGTGCCTCTTGTATTACATCTGTCCTTGGTTCTTTCTACTTAAGATATGGTTGTTCTACGTTCTAACATGGTTTGTCTTTTTGCTACCGTTTTCTGTCATCATCACTATTTTACATTCGTGTTCGTTTGATTGATTTTTTTTTAGCTTAGCTAGCCGCATTGACAGACTCTTAGTCTGCTACTAGCATACACACATAATTCCATCCAGGCTAATTCCATATCGATTAGACTCTATTGACTGAATATGTTTGAATGCAGACTGGTGTGATATCACCCGTTTTGGTTTTCAGGGCGCTCGGTTCTCACCGAAGAGCTGAAATGTGTGACTGCGACTGCTTTAAAAGCTCAAACACCGTTGCTATGCGTCAAGAAGTTTTAGCCCTTCAAATCATCTCCTTGCCAGATTAAGCATCACCTTTCTTTCTCCGTTTTCACTCTCCGCTGGTCAAAAGAGCTCTGCCTCTTCCTTTCTATTTTTAGCCTCTATTTACAATGCGGTAGTTATAGAAGCAAGAATATCTGCTCACTCTGATCCAATCTTCTGTCTCTTACGTCTTATTATTGGTCCATATTCTTTATTTTATCTTCCCTCCTTCACTCAGACTCAGAGTTTTTCTTGCTTCTTCCACTTTTGGTTCCCTGGTTCATCCTCAGTGAACATGTTAAGCCCTGGCAACACACATATCCCCACACACCCACTGTTTCACTCACTCACACACACACACACACACTCACACACACACCCACATCCCCACACACACACACACACACACACACACACACACACACACACACACACACACACACACACCACACACACACACACACACACACACACACACACACATGCAGTAAAAGGGAGTGCTGGAAAGATGGGAGAGTAGAGGGGAGTAAAGGTTAATCTCTGGATGCTCTGACCCAAATCACTATCTGACCTACATATCACCCCCAAAACAACCACCCCACTGTGCTGTCCTATCTGACACCCAAACTCAGATTGTTGTCTTTAACGCAACACATGTGCTAATACAGACACAAGCTATACCGCACTGAAAATGATAAAAAAAAAACAGGGCTAAGAGTCCAAAAAGAAAGGAGGTTTACTGAAGAAAATGCAAGGAACTAATGAAAAGTTCAAGTTAAAGGTGCACTTCAGATATTCACTTGGTTTCTGTGAGTGCTGTGTAAAATTTCACACCACAGTCGAATATTTAGTAACATTGCACCACTTTGCAAACTACCTATGTATTGTTTTTTGTGTGATGTCTTTGTCTCATATTCATGAAGTCTGGACCTCCTTTAGGGAAGACATGATTTATCTCCTTTATGCCTCACCGCCGAGTAAATGTTGAAGGTCTAAGGAACCTTGTGACATCATATTTCCCCCCTCAAAAAATTCTATATATTTTAAAAGAATTTTAAGTTGTGCAGTAAAAGTGCATGGATAAATACTCAGGTGATTGGATTGTGAAGATTTTCAGCTAAATTGTAATATTGGGGGAAATAACTGCAATATCATGTCGTTAATAGTATCCATGGCTTTTGTCAAAATGTGCAGTGATGTATCTTTCATGTTAAGACTCTGCACAGAACGCCATTTTGTCATCATCCATCCATGTCCATAGGCTAAGCCACATATTCTATATCCGATTATCAGAAAGACTTTGTTGAATGATGATCTTTGGTGAACTCCATCTGTTCTTTGATACATACATCACTTCATCCTCCAATCGTCCATCTTATTTCTGTGACTTGTGTGTATGTGCCTTTGTGGGGCCTGAACAAAGAGGTCCTTTTCTAATACACATATAAAATTGACTTCCTCCTGGCAACCTTCCCAGTTCTCTTAGCTTTTAGCTCGATGCTAGACTCATAAGCCTCTTCTATACAAAACTGCCATCAAAGAGCAGGAGTGGGTGCTAGACCACTGCCGTGTTCACTTATGGTCTGACATAAGATGGTTCACATTTCTATACAAGCTGGGCTTATAGATTGCATTGAATGTGTCAGACCACTGGCACAATTGAGGTTGGTGCCAGAGAATCACTTTGAAGAAGTGTGGTTGTGACGAGTCCACTGAGGGGAATCAGGTTTTCCAGCGGAACATCGACAAACGTTTAGCGCACGTTTGTAATGGAAGCGAAGCCACACGTTTGAAAGTCCCAGTTTCGGGCACAGTTTTTGCATTTAACACTACAGCCTCATGGAAGCGCTCTGACGGCTTGGCTTGTATGCTATTGACGAAGATGGGAAGAAGAGAAAAGAAAAAAATACAGTGGATCCCAAGGTATTCATAGGTGAAAGAGAACACAATTGTGATAGCTAAAATCCATAAATAATTGAGGCCGCATATAAGAAAACCAATAACTGGCTATTTCAATATTTAGTGTTCAGACTCTAAATACTGTAGATACTGCCTTAGCACTACCTCAGAAGACAATATCTATAGTCTCTATTGTCTCTGCTGTTGGAGGTGCAGCCAATCAGTGAGAAGGAAGATTAATTTCGATCCTGGATTTGCTTTGGAAATGGCAGCTATGTTCTAGAAGAAACCTGTGAATAGGTGAGTATTTGAGCTGGCAACTTCTCACCAGGATGTCAAAGCAGTTTTTGTCTTTGAGAGATGAATAATCCTAAATGGAGCAAATCATTTGGAAAAAAATACCAACTATCAACCAGTTTCTCAGAAACCAAACACTTTCTGAGATTCTTTCATTTCTGTCCAGCAGGTAACAAGCATGCCATCGTCCGATTCCAGTTATCAGTTGATTCTTCGGACGCCTCCAATCCTCTCTTCATCTGGGAAATGAAGCAAAGATTTTGAGATGTATTAGTATTGGCATTGCAGGCGTTTAACTTCAGGAAAGTCGGAAATCCTATGAAGAGGACAGGTTGCTGATAAGATTAGGATATTTCCTATCATTGATAATCTTTTTAAACCCCACAACTGAAAACTTTCGACTGTTCCACAAAGACCTCTCTAAACAAATCTTACACTGACTTTATGAAGTCAGCAGTAACGATGATCATCACAGGCGACTGGCTGGACCTCACTGAAAGAAAAGGTGGAGAGGCTACTAATGCATAGAGTAATGGATTAACTGTTTCAAATGTGTGTAAATGCACAGAGAGCACTTAGTGAGAGGGCATTTGTAGAAGACAGCAGGAGACAGACGGACATCGGAAATCTGAGCGCAGTGAAAGGTACAAAGTGAGTCTGCAGCTGAAAGAAAAGCTGAATCGACTGATAATTCGGTCTTAAGCTTTACGGCGTATGTCGACACTGAACCAATGGCCCAACAACAATCTGTCCTTTATTAACATTGTGTTGTGTTTGCAGTAGGTCAGAACATGAATATGGGCAAATTTACATGGGTGGGTAATCAGTGACTCGGCAAGTAATCTGAGACGGCAAGGGAGAGAGGACAATAGAAAAGCAAAGGGAGGATATCATATCCAGGTGGATGAGAATGAAAGAGACAACACTGGTTAGATGCGACGTCGTTAGGATTTCATATTCTTGTTTAGTGATTTTTTTTTTTTTGCATTTTCAATTCCGAGAAAGTCCGGTCCGTTCTGATGTGTAATCGATGCAGACCAAACAGGCCAACTCTGGTCCGCATAAATCAGTGACGCGCGGTGAGGCTAGCAGTTGGTGAGACACTGACTTAATCATATTTACAAATACAGACCGCCTCTGCATGTTGTTGTTTACATGAGGAAATTTCTGGAGGGCAAAAGGACAATTCTTCTACATCTCATCCACGGCTGCGCTGCCACCGTACAATAATATCCATTAACTCAATGAAACCTGGACATGTTAATGTCGTGCTGTGCTCCACAGCAAAGGGGAAAACCGTGAAAGTACAACTCAAAACCACTTCTTTCTCGCTCTCTGTATCAGCGCAGCTATGCGCAGGCTCCTTGCCATAGCAACTGACAACAAAACAAAAAAATAAATCACTCAGAATATTTCCCACACAAAGAGCAGACCATTCAGTCTGTTGCTGTGGTACGATTTTAGGCTTAATGTTTATTTTGTGATCATTAATAAGTGATTGATGTGGTAAGAAGAGAAAACTATAAATATATCGCTGCACTTTACTCCATGGCTAGCTCGCTGTTACTGAGCTCGCTCGGCTAATTTGAACTCTTGTCCAGTTCAAAAACATGTTAATGCCAAGCGGACCAGAGAACGCTCCAAGAGCAGGAAGTGGACCATGGTGCACGGCATTCTGGGGAAATACAACAAAACAAACGAGCGAGTCCAGCGCCAGCAGGAGAAATGGCTCGTGGTCTTTTGCCAAAGATGAAATAGCTCAGGGCCACAAGCGCATGCGCATTCAGTGATATGCTAAAATCACAGCGCCCTCTAGTGGCCTGACATGACAACTGATCCAAGCTGTCCAGGCGCCGCCATCTGAATGTGGAGCTTTTCCCTTGTCGACGTCTGAAACGACAGGAAGTTTCCGGGCAGCGGTCTCATGTAAACCCAGCCTCAGAATCAGCTGTGATTTCAGGAACACATGGGCAACCTGCAACATGGCTAGAAATGTAGCAGGAAATAGAAAAAGAGAGCTCTTCAGACACATGTACGGCTAATGAATATTTGCGAGTGAGGAAATAGGAGGTGAAGTGCCAACAGAGGCATGAAAAGGAAAATGATCGATGGAGGCAGACAAAAGAAAACATCCAGTCCTGCTGCTGTCTCCTGAGGACGCAGCTGAAATCTGATCTAAGGCAGGAAGTGGCCATCCCTCTACCTCCCTGTCTGCCTAACACTGGAAGGAGACTCACACATCACGGTGTAATGTTGCACCCGATGTTTTCCTCTTATTAACTAAAGGACACACGCGACTGGCCTATTAATTAACTGCTGTTTTAATCTCTTTTACTCGCAGTACAGCCTCTGTTGAAACCACGTTTTTTTCCTCCTCTATAATTGGATTTTACAACAATGTGCAAACAAAAAGTAAGGGATCATCATTCTCTTTTAGGCAATAAGGAGTCACTCTTTGGCTTTGTAGAACAGGAGTCACAGGTGTAGCTCTGGCCTTTTTTGCAGCAGTTGGCAGCGACAATAAAAGTTTTTTATGTAGAGCAAGTGAAAATAAGACAAGTGGAGGAAAATCCATGGATTTGTAGAAATAAAAAAGCATTCAGCACATTTGTAAATATGCAAAGCAGTCTGCACTGTGTCATCCTTCAAGTGATGGCTCAGCGTTTTAGAAGTGAGGTTCTGCTAAAAAATGATAAGCCGGTGATATCTTAGCGGATAACTTTTTATCCCGTCACTGGGTATAGAACCAGACGAGGGGCCTAAACTGAGACAAGTTCAAAATAGTTTCGATATGAATTTATTGTTGTTATGATGAAAACCAATTAGCGATGTTTTTAAAAAAAACTTATTGCCTTTTTTACTGTTTTCCTCAAAGTGTATCCAATGAGAGTATCAATAAATATAAATACATTTGATTCGTGTCTCACTTCCTTATGTGACTGGTGTCCAGAAGAAAAGTATTATAAACTCTATGTTTTTTATTTGTACTCATGACTGCTGTGCCGCCCACACAGTTGCCTAAAATGAAGTAATAAATAGCTCTTAGAATCATTTTTATCGTTATCGCAATACTAGGAAATATAACATTTAAGTCCATATTGCCCAACCCAAGTTTAAAATGAAAAAAAAAAATGGAGCAGGTTTGAAACCATATATTTTTAAAACCAGTCATGCTGACTTTTTATTACTGGAAGGAAGTTTATATTTTCTTATCAGATTTTTTTTATTGGGTTTTGTGGTTCTTTTCGGTCCGGATCAAGAGGGAATTCTTTGGAAGAGGTAGGATGTGGCTGCTGAAGGTGTTCAGCACTTGACTCCCACTCGGAGGTTTGGGGTTTGAGTCCCACCGGAATCCTTCTATTTTTAGGTTTTGCCTATGCCGGAGGTTTTGCGTGGGGAGGAGCTAAGCGGGCAGCAGGACGTTTTTCCTCCACATTTTTTGTTGCTTTTGTCTTCACCAGAGTTCTACCTCAGCTTTAACACAACCTCAAACCAATGATAAAAACAGTGAATTTGAAGATGAAAAACACTAAAAGTTTTCTTTTTTTAATCACACTTCCCATTCAGTGAAATAGAGAGTAAATTCAAAGCTGCTATGTTCTGCCTCCGCATTCACTAAATCCTCACTTGCATAAAGGACAAGGCCTAAAAAGTCGGGGGGGTTTTTTTTCTGTGTTGAAGCATCTCGGCTTTTAGCGCATATGAGATCCCCTATCATCCAAATCTCACACAGATATGGATGCGCATATTGTTACACAAGTAGAAGGAGAAAGACAAGAGGCGCACAGTGTTACTGGGAAGGTTTAATGGCCACAGAATGTGGGTGTGGAGTGAGAACAGAAGTCAGAAAAAAAAAAAACCAGCGGAAGAGGATGAAGGTCAGATTATTGTGAGGCGATAACCACAGCCATGTTTGGCAGCCTGGCGTTTTCCAGCATGCGCTTCATTTGTGTTTTATTAGTTTTTTATGTTCATATCCATGCATATTATAATCTTAAAACGGAGATATTATGTATTTTCTAGGCACACAGCGTCATTTTATAGCACAGTAAAGTAACTATGTTATTTTCAGTTATTATAAAAATGCAGTAGGTATCAAAAATAAAAGAAATTTGTCTTTGCAGTTTAACGCCTTGAAATTGGCCTCTCTCTCTTTAAGAAGCATCTCACTATCTGGGAGCTGACAGAATTTCATTTCATTGTTTATTTCTAGCTAAACAGTAAAGATTTTTTCTTTTTTTTTTGTCACTGCACAGAAGAAATTCCATGTATTGATGTTTCAGTTGTTATCAACATGGACTGTGATGAAATGCTTATATTGCTTTATTTTGCATTTCACCCAGCCCGACAGAATGCTTTAATGGTCAGGGAATCGTTACTTTTTGAAACGTTGGTATACATTGCAGTGGAAAAGTATTTGCTGTCTTAAAAATGTATTTGACCTCAGATTGTTTTTTTGTCACATTGAAATCTTTCAGATCGTTAAGCAAATATAACACACATCAAAACATAATATATCATTCTGTATTGTGCTATACCATGTCATGCTGTGCATGCCCCATATCTCATTACTATCAACTTGACTTGAACAGTAGACAATAATTTCAATCAGTTATTGTCTTCCATGTCATTGTTTGTATATTGACTTGATACCTACAGTCAGTTATACTTTGCTGACATCAAAATGTGAAAATGGTCTATTAAAGAATGAAATCTAGCCACCGGATGTTCTGTTTGCCTTTCACACGTTTTTCTTGCCTCAGTAATCTCTCTGGTCTCTATGGATGTAAAGGTGAGAGGAAGGTTCGGTCACACATAGACTTCCATGGGAATTGGGACGGTGCAAAAGTACATGCTGTTCTTTTTCTTCTTTCTGGCAGGAAAATCCAAATCTTTTCCAGTTTCTCTCTTTATGTGTCTTCCACTAATCTACTTTACCATGATTAACCCTGGCAGGAAGAAATTAAAAGTGTTTCTACCTCTAAAAATTGAATATTTGAATACGATTACTAAAAGAAATGTATTTTATCTTCCAGTTTTTAAGGATTACAAATACATCCTATGGGGTAATAGGTGTAACTGCTCAGCAGCAAGCCAGTTGTTCTTTGTTGTGATCTTGCCACAAGGCACTGATGTATGGAGTCGGCTTTCTGTTTGAACAGTGTGCTATATAAATATAACTCTGGTCTCATCTCTATATATGCAGGTAGAACAACCCTATATCAAGCTGCAACCATGGATGAGATGGACCTGCCCCAGATGAAGAAGGAGGTGGAGAGCCTCAAATACCAGCTGGCCTTCAAACGAGAGAAATCCTCCAAAACGGTCACAGAGTGAGTATATAGGTCTCAGCTGCAAACCTTTACAGAGAAATGTCTGGAAGGTCTCACTGCACTGTACAGTATTCATACTTGGTGTATACCATACCATATTATGCCACACCATGTTATACCATACTGCTCCACACCATAATATGCCATCATACCATACCATGCCTACCATACAATATTATACCATACTATACAATTCCATAACATGTCTTACCACAGCATACCATATCAAACTATGCCATATTATAGCAATGCCATACAATGCTGTATCATACCATACTACATTATACCATACCATACCATACCATACCATACCATACCATACCATACCATACCATACCATACCATACCATACCATATTATATACTACCACACCATATCATACCATAGCATACCATACCATACCATATCATACCATACCATATCATACCATATCTTACCATACCATACCATACCATACCATACCATACCATACCATACCATACCATACCATACCATACCATACCATACCATACCATATTATATACTACCACACCATATCATACCATAGCATACCATACCATATCATACCATACCATATCATACCATATCTTACCATACCATACCATACCATACCATACCATACCATACCATACCATACCATACCATACCATACCATACCATACCATAGCATAGCATACCATACTGGGAATAAAAAAATAATTTCTTTCTTTCTACAAAGTTTGGTCAAGTGGATTGAGGACGGCGTCCCTGAGGATCCCTTTCTAAACCCAGAGCTGATGAAGAACAACCCATGGGTGGAGAAAGGCAAATGCATCCTCCTCTAGGGAGAGGAAGCATACATCCTCCCAGGACCACGTGTGTCAACAGTAACCCTACAGATGACCCCTGAAGCCAACGCGGACTGTGAGGGCAGTGGCCGGACAGCGCCCAATGTGCCCTCACTATGAATGTACTACAGCTGTTACCCCCCCCCTCCACCTCACCCTAGACACACGCACACACAACCACAAGGGCACAGAAACACTCACTGACACTCGCACACATCATCACTCTAAACCTTGTCTGACTCTTTCTCTGCGAGTTTATTCCTTGCCACGGCAATCTAGCATTACTATGATATGAGAGCAACAATCATTACTTGTACTACACTGGTTTGTATGAATATACTGTTTGATTATTTATTTATTCTGCTGCCAATTGCAATCTTGTTTTTTTTAAGTCCCACTTTAATGCATTAGTGATGTGTAATACAATGTTGAATCACATTCTCACTGCCAGACTGACTGCAGGTGGAAGAAATGCAAGACTTTCATTGTCATTAAAAACATTGTGATCTTTACTTTTAACTAAAACGAGAGATTTTCCAAGTAAGACATTAGCAAAAGAAAAAAAAACTTACTAAAACAGAGAATTCACCAACAATAATGCTTGACAGTGAATAAGTAACTCTTTCAATAAAAACATTTGCTTTTACTGTGTAATTGGCATAGATTAACATAAAAATACCGATGTTAAGAATAGCAGAGAAAGATATTGTAAATCTTAACAGCCTAGTTTAACGTTGTCTGTTAGCAAACAGTTCAATTTAGGTTCAATCCATGCTAACAAAATAGTCTGCAGAATGGAGCATGCAAGTGGACATGTTGAATGCCTCTTTTTAAAGTTTGGAATAAAAAAAGTCTTTCTTGATTATTCTTGATGATGAACTGGCAGCCCACTTTGTGCAGATTGCTTTCCAAGCAAGACCAACAAATTAGCCATTAACATGGGTTTTTATGATCTGCTTCAGTTTGTTCTCCCTCTGCCACCATTAAATTCAATTGCAAGCTAGAAATTGAAACCATGAGCTATCTGCATGCTAGCCCTGCAATAGGTGTAATGTTAGTCCTTTAATGTAATTGACACGTATTAGTATGACATTGGTAATTAAACTTTTTGCTAGATTTGTAAAAATTTGTTTGGTTAATTGTTTTTGAGACACTCTTGTTATCTTTCCAGACTAATGGATGTTAGCATCGTTATATTTTGCTTTGTGGGATCTTTCAGCCAACTTCATGTTATCAGAAAGGCACTACTTAAGTGATTTCTTAGTGCTACAGACCTGGCAGTCATCATGCCTGGGGCTGTGTGGAGAAAAAAAAAATCTGCTTCGAAAAAGTTTGAGTTTTCAGTATAAAAGCTGACTTAATAATTTATTAGCTGTCCAGTCCTTACAGAATCCAACAGCCAAGCATACTGAAATACAACAAAATTTAGCAAAATTAGCTTAGCATAAATGTGAAAGTCATTAAAAATGGCTTCTTTACACAACGACAATAAAAAACGATGCACTTCTGGACAAGTAAAATGTTTTTGATTTTTTTTTTTTTTTTAAAGATACCCCTCACGAATTGTAAAAAGACGTTTTGTCATAGCATTATATTTAGACACCTCACACTATAACAGTAGCCCCTTTGCTGCAGCACACAGAGTAAATGGTCACCAAATTATTCAGCTGCCACACTGAAAACACAAAAGGAGTCAAAATGATTGGATCCCCGGTAGCTGCTTGGACTAGGACAGAAGGTGAATAATCCACTACTTCGTACAGGCGCTACAAAACACTTACAATTGGTTGGGCCCATGAGTTGCCCAAAATTGATTATATAAACATGATAAAAACGTTTGTCTTAGGTGAAGTTATCACAGAAACACAGCAATCAATGTAAACATAGCTAGCAGCCTGCTGCTTGCTAAGTGTGCAGCGACAGGTCCAAGTAGCTAACGTCGTCCTGTGGTGTAAAAATCTGACTTTTCCCCTGAGAAACTGTTCAACCAGAAATCTCTTAAACGACCACTTTAGTAGTAACACTCTCCTACTGAATGTGGCCACTACAGCTGATTGAAGAATACCTCAGTGAGTACACTTAGCAACGTTTGTGCAGACCATGCTAGCACCCGAGCTGCTTCCAAAACTAGCTTCCTGTTATGTATGACTGCTGCCCTTTTCAGATAAAAAAAAAAAAAAACAACAACTTAATTTCAAGGACAATCATCATATTGAAATTTAGCATGAATGTCATGACGTTGATGTTTCTCCAAGCCCAGTCATAGCAAAGGTAAACTCTGGGTCTCTTGGGCAGGTTTAGGTTTCCGCTCCCTCTCATCCTGAACCACGGCCCCTGCAGACCACGCACAACCGTGGAGACCAATGCAAGAAACCTTTCACATGCATCCCTCCTCACATGTATAGACGGACCCCTTTAACTTATTAACTTATTTATTTATTTATTGAAGAGAACTTCCTTTAAGCTTATGCTATTTTATATAGTCGCAACCTTTCCTCCTTATGTCCTCCTCAAAAAACAAACAACAAAAAAAAACGAATAAAAAAATAAAAGAAAATCACAACAACAAAAAAAGCTCCACCTTGCCAGATCGCCATCTACTACTGCCTTGTACACAGTTTCCTTAAAACGAGAATGTAAATATGTGGCATGAGGTTCCGACATCACTGCTGACCTCAGAGGTGGCCTGTGAGTGCATGTGACTGCAATCTTGTGTATATGTGTGCATACTTTCAGAAACAAATCTGGACAAGAAGCTCCCATGTGGGCTGCAGCTGCATCACACACGGGGCGCTGGCCAGATCAGCAACAACACACACTCACACACACACACACACACATAAATGCACGCTACTCAGTGAGAATGTGTACCAAGGGAAGCTTGGCAAGGACAGCGGAGTCTGGACGCGACTTGGGACAGCAGAGCTTCACATCTTCTATGTACTGTATTAAATCAGATTCAGTTTGTGTTTCGGCGGCTGCTCCCGGGAGTTGTACTCTACTCCCAAGTGAGTTTGAGTTATATTTTCACTTTTTTTTTCTGCTGTCAAGAGTTGCTAAGCAAGTTTCGTCCACACACAGGCTGCGAAAGCATGTTTTACAGTCCAAAAATGCGCTAGACGTAACAACAAATCTTAAAAATACCAGTTGAGTTCAAAGTGACAGCCCTGCACAATGCGAGCAATGTCAAAACATAAAGAATCACAAAATGCTTTATTTGTTATTCCACAAAAAGTAGCAGAAAAGGAATGTTTAGGTACTGCAAGGAATTTCCTTTTCTGTAAAATGATCCCTATGGGCCAACATCATAGCATGAGAAACATTTTCATACCGTGACAACACTCACTGCGTTTCCATGAATGTTTTTTTTCTTTTTAATTCTCATTTTAAAATATCTTATATGACTGAAACAGCAAAATTCGAAATAACTTACTCAATTTCGCAAAAAATGTTTTTGCACTCGCGCAAGGCGGTTTTTATCTTTTGTTTTTTTTTTAAAGAGACAAAAAAACATTTGCCGATGCGTTCTGATGTAGCGAACTTTTACCTCACTTGACCAATCATTTGTTTTTGCTGTTGCCGTTTGCAGTTCTTTCTCCAGGCATCATGTAACATCGCAGAATCTGGGAGACATGACAGAACGTTTCCAACTTGGCCGATAGCAACACATTCCCGGAAACCTCCTTCTGTTTTTCTGGGACATGTGGTCCATGCTCGTTTTCAACCTCTGCCATGTGTAGCATCGATATCCGACAAAGTCACGTTTTGCGTAGCCTGGTTGATGTGCTCCAAACCAGTAGTAAGAAAAACGCCTATTTCACATTGTCTTTTTTGCGACATTTTCAAATGTTTGCTCCAAATTAACAATAATTGAATGGAAACGTAGCTACTGTCTACGCGTCATAGACATAAATAGACTTTTGCGATTGCTTACAAACGTCATTTTTTTTCAACAGTGACATTTGCTCCTTCGTCCTTAAATAAACGCTGCCTCTTTGACGCCATGTTTTTCCTCACACAATTAACGACCTCAGTAGTTGAACGCTACACGGACCGCTCTCTTATTGCACCGAGCCAGTGTACAACACCTGCTAGTAAACAACTGGTAATGTGGAATAGTTTGTGACTCAGTTGTCCAGTGAAAGCAGCCGTTGGACTAGTGATTGGAGTAGAAGTGCTATTACTTTGAACACAACCGAATCCGCAAACCTCAATCTCAACAAAGATCTTGAACAATGTTCCTACTATGGAGGAGCCTCCATTCACTTTCGATTTGCTTCTGGGCTTCAGGGTTGTAGCCTTTGTACCGTCCACCTGAGTCCCTCCGACTATTGTCTTCAATTCTGCAATTTAAAATAGGTCTGAAACGTGCTTCGTCCAAATGGAAAAGCTCCAAATTGTCTGGACTAAACCTACAAAAGACGTACATGAGAGGACTCCTGTCTCTGCCTGTCCCTTGTCTGTTTCACGTCCTGCTTCTGTAGCTTTACTTGTTTGGTTTGTTTTTTCCATGATCTGAACTTGGATGTGGATGTCTAATACTAAAACATAACGACTGTATAAGACCTTGTCTTGATATTTAGCAACATATTCTATGTGGGAGTGCTTTGGAAAAATTATGCATCAGATCAAAAAGTCCTAGTATAAGAATGACAATGAGCAATAAATTGTAGACCGTTTTTTTATTGAATGTTTTACAAAAACATTTACCTTACTTAATAAAGTAGAAGATTTTTAGACAATCTGGTTGTCCTGGGTTTTTTATTTTTTTTATGCTTTGGTGCAATAAATTCCTCTGTTGTACTAGAGATCCACCCGCTGACGCACGGATGCCCCTCAACAACGAACAAAGTCTGGGAACTGCGGCAGGATTTTTTAAAAGACTTGTTTTCGTCTTTCAGCAGGACATTAGCATTAAACGTTCAATCCGGGTAACAACGGATCGGTTTAGATCAGGGATGCACGATGTATCGGCATCAATGTCGGTATCGGACGATGTTAGTCATTTTTTGACACATCAGTATCCTTTTGATAAGCAAACCCTGGTTGATATGAACATGGTGACCATGAACTAATGTAGTTGATGTGGTTGCTTCCAGTGTCAAAATTGTAGTAAATTTTATAGAATATCAGTAAATATCGGCTATCAGCCAAAACAGCAGTAAAAATATCAGACATCAATACTGACTAAGTTTCATATCAGTGCGTGACGGAATGGCCAAGTCAAAGTCCAAAACCAACTGAGAATTTGTGGCGAGACTTGAAAATTGATGCTGACACAAGCTGAGCCAATTTGTAGAGAAAAATACATGCTGTGCTTTTCAGAAATGTTGACGTTATGCTGTAGATTGTGTTAGTCTTTCCTGTCCAATCCCAACAAAATACACAAAAGTTTCAATTTTTGGTGTGACAAAATGTGTTGGATTTCAAGAGGCGTGAGGATTTTTTGCAACCGCTGCACCCACACCTCATATGACGGTACACGAAAAGGTCACAGACTGTTGGAATCATTGCGAGAAGGGATGGGAAAAACGAGGCGGCCGAGGGAAATACAGAAATACAGTAGATTCCCTCATCTACTGCAGCTGTCATCTTTTATTATAACAACAACCGTTTACATGAATGTGTTAAAGTCATTTTTACCATAGTGGATCAAATTTTGACACAAGAAGGAAAGGTTGAAAAACAGAATGCTGGGTAGTAGGACAGACCGCAAAGAAAAAGGCAACGCAAAAAACTTCCTCTGCTCTCCGGCCTCCACAGATCATGAATAATAGAGAAACGGAATATATGGGAAGACTTTGTACCTCCTGTCAGAACTTTTTGGTCTCTCTATTTCTGTCCAAGTGAGGCTTCTCCTATCCCCTGTCCATCCCGACTCTTTACTCAATGTCAGTCCACACAGTGGATTTTACAATACGAATTGACGTAGCAAAATATAACCACTCATCTCTATAACAACACAAAAAGAGAAAGATGTGTGGAATCGATTGAAACATGTCATTAATGTCACATTTAATTTTGATGACGCTTCCTCTCCTTGAACTTTCTTCTGAGACGCACCGTTGTTCAGGCGAAAGGTCACTGAAAGTCAATGGGGTTGGCTTGTAATTTGACTGAATTTGACTTTTTTAACCCTCTCAGGCTCAAATTATTTGAAAAGACTGTTTAAGTTGTTGCAAATCTGCAACCCCTGCCTGGAGAGTGTTCAGAGGCAGTTAAACCTCATATTACCAACCAGGCTTCCTGCTTCGCTGTCTGTTTGCCAGATACCAAGTTAGCTAATTGTTTAGTTGGTTCAAATTAAATTTCATAAAGCATACTCATTGTTCGGTACTTAAAAATTCAAAGTTCATTGTGTCCAACATGAACTACTTTTATTTACATGAAGTGTTCTCCAGTGACTTGTTAAATGGTAGAGGATCAACTCTCACAATTCAGATAAGCTAGCGTCTGCTATAAGGTTTCTGCCCGCATGTTTAGATCTGCTTCACATTGACTCCTGAAAGCTGCAGGTGAAGTCTGTTACAGTAGAGTGACTGTACTAGCTTATTTATTTCAAAGCTGAGTCTGGATTGCATTTGCTTAAAACTGCATATGCAAATCTGTGCAAACTCAATGCATTAGCTCAAGTTTCCAGGTTTAAACATGATTCTGCTCTGCTTTCTAACCAAACAGAGAGGAGCGGCGAAAGCTAACGAGGTGGATTAGCAGTGCTTGCTAACAACCGATGGTGCCATCCATTGCATGATGCTGTGAAATGTTGTCTCTCCTGTCTGGAAAATGAGCTGTGAGCAAGTCACAATGGTCACGTATGACATTTACTGTCATGCACTAAAAGTCTTCAGTCAGAGGCCTTTTCAGATTTGTTGCAAGACTGACTGCTGCCACATATCCCTCCACTCCACAGCATCACCATCCACGACGACTATTTGAAGGAACGTGGACGATATGAGTTACAACATTTAATTTCCTTTTGGGACCAATAAAGTATTTCTGAAATGAGTCAAATTTAACTACAAGTCGAGCTTTAATGTGCATGTTTTGGGCCGTGGGCTTGTCTGCTTTTGAACTGCAGCATGGACACACATTGGAGTTTTTTCCAGTTCTTGTCTTGAGCCTGAATTTATAATTTTGACCTTGTGTGAATTCCTTGAAAGTCCATAATAAATTCAAACTGTGAAAGAAGTTGATGATCGTAGGACCAGTCCAGCCTGAAAATGCGGAGTTCGAATCTGCACTCCTAGCCGGATCAGGGATGAGAGACAAAGAGAGAGCGTACGTCTGGCTGTTTGTATTTGCATCCAAATAATCAACGCCATGTTGCTTCCATCGCCAGACGACCAAAGACTGAGAGTATTTTGTCAGTCTGATTAGTTCAAGTTTGCTTAAACAAATTTGAACAGGCTGTTCATCCAAATTTCATACAAATTAGTTTTGAAAGTTCCTGCCCGCGTTTTGAATGGCAGCCGACGATGACGGTGCAGAAATGACTGATTCAAAAGAGAGTAGATTCACAGCATCGTGAAGTTTGTGAAAGTTTATGCGTTCATTTCAGTTCAAAGAAAAAAAAAGGCAAATCAAACAGAAAAAAAAACATTACATAACAGTGGCAAAGTAAAGAGAAACAAAGGAAAGTTGCGATCCACTCTAAAATGAATCTGTGTTCCACTTACTATTAATCAAAGCCAACTCTAAACAAATGAATTTTTAGACATACTTTAGCAATAAACACAGTAAAAGGAGACTGCTCATAAGTTTTCTAGTGTCTTCTTTCCACCTCCCTCTATGAGGACATACTTGGGAAGATATATGCAATATGAAATATAGATATAAAAGAGATTTGCAATAAACTGCACAGAAATCCTTTTGTAAGGTCTGAGGACGACATCGAGATTCCTTTATGGTGGGACAGCTGACTGTAACGCAGGATGTGTCTGTTTGCTTTTAATGGGTCAGATCCCCTCAATCCCTTCCACACACGCCCACACACACACACAAACACACACACACTCCCTAATGCACTCAACCCCCCCCCCATCAACCTCAGTGCTAAATCCTAACCCTGATTGTCCCTTTCCCCTAAAATCCTGAAACCATCACATCTCCTACACACACACACACGCGCGCACACACACACACACCCACACCCACACACACACACACACACACACACACACACACACACACCAGATTCATCCTCAGTCCGTTTCCCCATTCTGTCTGCAGTCAGCGCTAATGCATGGGTTAATGGCCCTATAACCCCCTCTCCACTCTCAGATTACACTCTTGCATGCACATTCACACACACACACACGCACACCCACACAACTGCGTGCACCAGTGGATTTGCGAGTGCACACTCTGGTCCATGAGTAGACTTGCACACAAGGATGCACACACACACATGCACGTACACAACGGAGTCACTAATGGCCTGCTGGTGCTCTACACAACCCTTCACGAGTGGATTAGGATTAACAGTCCACCTGCAATACCCCTACACACACACACACACACACAAAGATACAAAAGACTGAAAAATGAGAAGCAATCGCTAATGCAAATTCAGCTGTTGGTAATAATCTCTGTCTCCGCCACACACAACCACACAAACAAAACACACTTCCAGACGATTTCTCCACAGCGGGTCAGGTGCGGTGCAGGAACTGAACTGAAGCTCAAGACATGTTGAGTCTCATAATGTATGTTTAATAGATGGAGATGAATAATTTACAGGGAGAATCTGTTAGAAAGACACATGAGGTATAGAGATCTGCAAAACATGGAAACCAGGAAGTATGACGGAGGAACCAGAGGAGAACAGTGAGGGAAACAAAGCTGAGTGCTCTGAGGAAGTAGAGGGGAACCAGAAGAGCTAATCAGATCTAAACGAATGCAGGTGGGGAAGGGAGCAGGTAGGGGTGGATGAGGAGGTGATTAACAGCTGGAAAGGGGAGCAAAATGGAAGGCAAAGCAGAAACAAACGGAAGAGGAAAGGAAACCTGAACAGAAACAGAGATTAATGTGTAATCTAACAGAACAAAACTGAAAATCCTAAACAGTCCAAATAACTGAACTAACACATGAAATAAAATAAAATGACAAGATATAATAAAGCAACAAAGAAACCAAAACAAAAAATGTCTTAAGCTGTAAGTTCAAATCACTTATCGATAATAAAAGAAGTTGTTCAGAAGAACGTCTCCGCCGTTGTGTTTCAGGACCTGGATTGTGTTAGTCAGTTGCGGAGTAGTTTGTCCTCTTTTAGTTTAGTGTGAAAATGTTCTGTTTTGTTTCATCAGACCAGAGATTGTTGTTTGTCCCAATCTGACAATCTAGAAGAGAAATGAACCTCCTTCATTTGGCCACTTTACAATAAATGTAAAGTGGGATCAGTAGAGTCCACTGAGCTTCTGGATGCTTCTAACCCAATGGTTCCTGGTCACCGAGGTGCTTCTTCATCGATCTCACTTGGTCAGATCTCGGTAGGGTCCTTGTGGTTCCCAGATTCTAATGTTTTCAACTAATGGAGCTCTCAATGGATTAAATCTGCCACATTATTGCTTGCGTCCTTCCCCAGATCTTTGCTCTGACGCAATCTGGTCTCACAGGTCTAATAACCGTCCCCATGACTTCATTGCTTGGTTTCTGCTCTGCTACACACTGGCAGCCACAGGGCCTTAAATAGACAAGTGTTTTCCATTCCACATCATGTTCAGTCATCTGGATTTACCAAAGG